CTTCACACTGACCTGTTAATATCATACTAGAGTGACATATCACAAAAATGCTGCTATCCTTGTCCTTATCCTCTTTATCTATCTGAAAAGGTTAATCTTCTTCAGACTCAATCGTGATGCACAGGGAAAGTACAAGTGGACCCTCGCTCTTGTTTATTTGCATCCTTACTTATTTTATGGGGTGTCTCAATAGCTCTTGAAATGTAAGGCTACTGGCCTGACAGAGATCCACCTGGGATTGAAACTTTATCTATTTAAATTCATGGTTTGGAGCTGTGTGAAGGTACCTTTTGTTGATGGAGGGCTATTTAAGAAAAAGAAGCAGAGTTATCCTTTGTGCTACTGCGGTCTAGTTTCTGTTTTCAACAATTCTCCCTGGATTTTGTTCGTTATGATGGTTATTCATATGAAATGGTTTGAAAATCATTAAATAAGTCAAATCTATCAAGATAGACAATAAAAAGACAATAAAAATATATGTTGTGATGATAAAATAGGTCAAATGAAATATCTGGGGATAAAAATGTACTTTAAAAAGTTACTGAGCTCATTTGTTTGGAAAATGTATGGTTTTCTTCAAACTTCAGTGAACTTTACATTAATTAAAAGAGAATCATAGATATACTTAGAGAGTGATTTCTTCAAGTGATAAATAAAAATAAGGACAAAGGTAAGTTAGGTTTCTCACTGCTGAGCCGTTCGCAGGAGTTGTAGGAAATATTTCCTGATCTTGTCGATCATGATTGCATTATTTTTCCTGACAGCCTGACCTCCTTGTGCATGATAACTAATACACATATTTCACCTCAAGAGACTTTACCCTGTCGTTTAAGCCCCCTGTTGCACTGTGCCAGCCTCATGTAGAACACAGAAAGAGCAGAAATCAATAAGTGACAGTTTTATCTGGATCATATTATTTTGCATTTATTTTGAAAATCTATTTAAGAACCAAATATATTCCCCAGCAGACATTTATCCTCTTTATGCTGACACGTTGTCAACACTCTGATAGCCGTTATCTTTCACCAAACCAGAGCGATCTTGTTAGAGTTGAAAAAAATTCCTTCCCCTGGTCAATCATTAACAAATGTTTGGAGGCAAACTCACAGCGAAGTCAGTCACTCTCTCTCTCTTCAGATAACATTCATGTGTGCACATGTAACAAGTGTGTTGTCTTGAGTGTTTGCATCCTGCCATACTCTAGTGAGGCCAAAACAAACAGAGAGGCATCATCCAGAGGTTGCGCACTGCGCCACTGACTGTCTCTGCTCTCTTTGGCATCAGGCAGGACTTTCTGGTTTAATCTAGTTCACGTCTCTTACGTTTAACTGTCTCTAACCTCTGACCTCTTTCTCCCTGTAGCTTTGTCCCAATTATGACCAGAAATTAGTATCACAGTATTTTTTAGGGTATAGGTTTCACTGTAAATCACCTCTTTTTTTTTTTTTTTAAACTAGGTTGTTTTTGCATGACTGAGCCTTTATTTATATTAGCTCATTCTACTGTCAGGAGTACATAGAATATAAAAATATTTTAATGCCATCATATATATATATATATACTGAAGGCTTTGAATACTAAAGGGTTTTCTTGGCCTGATACAAAATATGAAGAAATCAGAACCCATGAGTTGTAGAATGTAAATAATTTTTATTGTGCAAAGTGCAATATAGTAAAAACAGAACTTTAACATTGCTGCCTTTTCAAATCAAAATATTTTAAAATATATATATATATATAAACTGACATAAAATACTCAAAGTATTTAAAGGAACAAGGGTATTAAGAATAACCAGAGAAATAGAGAAATAGCTGAAATTCTCGCTGAGGGTGTTATTCGTTTATCTCGGTCATATAGAGCAGTAGTTTGCAACTTGGGGATCGGGGGCCCCCACCAGGGGTCGCCAAAGCTTTACGGGGGGTCACAAGGCCTTCTTGATTTTAAATAGAACCATGACCAGGTGTCAGAGAGAAGAAAACAACTACTTTGTGAAAAAGAAGTCTCTTTTACATTACTACTGCTGGCTGGAGTGGCAGAAGTTCAACCTTTCAACCATTTATCCATCACTTTTACTAAGTATTTCAACTGTTAAACCATTAACTATGTCAACTGTTTATTCATTAGCTAGTTTTAGCTATCTGTTTCAACTTTTAATGCTCAGTTGTAACTGCTATTACTTTATTTACCTTTTATTTACCTACCTTTTTATTCATGAAACTGTTTACTTTTAGCTAATAAACATTATTTCAACTGTTTATCCATTACTTATAACTAATTATTCCAACTGTTAAACCATTATCTAGTTAACCGTGTCGAATGTTTATCCATTTTTCAAACTTTTTAAGTTAAGTTAACAAGCATTATTACAACTGTTGATTAACCTTTTGGCTAATTATTTCTAATTTGTCTATTTTGTCTTCTTCTCTGCTTGCCTGTTAACCAGTTTTTTAGCAATATGAAATAGTTTAGTTGGGCTATAGGCTGTGTGGGGATAAGAGCGAATAGTCTTTTGGGATAAAATGTTTTTATTTGTTGTTAGTGAAAGAATAATGCATAGCCTACTTTCTCTGTCCCTCAACAGCTTGTATATCACATTCAGCATGCAGCTCATGCGTCTCTAAGGCTTCTGCTGGCCTGAGGTAAGATTAGGTCAGCTTGCTATTTACTTAAGTGGCATTTATTTTTATGTTAACACAGCTGTTTCTAATTTTCTGCCATTCCTTTTAACAACACAGACACTAAATGACTGCATAACTTGTGTGAGGCCATAATTTCCTGTGTGCATGAATTCAATATATCTATTGTCTTTATTTTACATTTTATAATGGTGATTGTTCTCGCAGTGATCTCACGTCACGAGTTCTTGTTACTGCCCGAAAAAAAATTAAGTTGCATCTACCAAAGGCCTGCAGAAGTCCTGCAATTACATAGACCTACAGGCCTACTGTAACTTTACAAATACTCTGAAATGAAAGGAAGCTAGTACATACCACTTTTAGACATTCTGTAAAACAGGGAAGACAAAAAGCTCAAACAATCACTGCTTATATTGGCTTTATGCTTAATGTAGTTTGTGCTTTTTGTTTTTAAAATATGCTTTAAATGAGGCTTAAAGCAATTAGAAAGAGTGGTATTTTATTCACTACTCAGAGCTAGTTAAAATTCTCCTCTCATTTCATGAGGCCAACTCAACACCAACTGAAATTAGAGCCAGATGAGAGCGAGATGGAGAGAAAGGGTTTGTCTCTCTGCACTGTTTACGCTACAATAAAGAGAGATTTGTTTATCTCTCACTCTGCAGGGCTTGTATACCATGAAAAGGTACAGAGTCGGTGTCTGTGTGAGGTTGACAGTCCCATTGTTTCTCCAGGTGTACGTTTGTGCATGCACATACAGTATGTTTGTGTGTGTTGCATCACTTGCACAAACAGTCCTATACAGTCCCTGACTTTCTGCAAAAACACAGGCACAGTGAATCACCTGAAAGGCCATGAGATATCTCGGAGACACATCTTCATTATTTGATCTTCTCGCAGGAAATGGCTCGATATTTTCTGCAGTTGTGTACAGAGACAAAAGCCTCAGGCTGAGATTTAGATGGTAAATAACATTTAGACAACAGGTGACTGTCTGCTATAAACTTAATTAGTGGCAGTGATGGAAAGTAACTAATTACAGAGCACTCTACTGAAGTACACATTTTGAAATCTTTTTTATACTTCTTTAAACTTCCAGTCCTCTACATTTCAGTGGGAAATATTATACTTTTTTTTACTCTACTACACAGATTTGACCTCTGTAGCTTATGAGTTAGTTGATTAGTTTATAAAATATGATGCATTTTTAAAGTTTTAACATCCCCACTGTTTAAAGTATTTGACATTAGCCCCACCTCTGCTTATACCTTAATGCACCAAAAATAATATTCCAGTAATCTCCTGATACACCTTTTCCTGAAGTACAGTTTTGAATGCAGGACTTTTAATTGTAACAGGGTATTTTACATTCTGGTGTTTTTTCTTTCACTTCTACTGACAAAACATATGATCAGTTTATAAACTATGGTGCATTGTTAGATTTAACTGTCCAACAACGTAAAATAAGCTAAAATAAACCATGACCACCTCCAAAATTAGAAAGCTGCCCGCACATTAATACACCAATAATGACAACCCAAGTTCCTCATCTTTGACAATTACGTAGATTCTGCTTATTGTCCTGTACTTTTACCAAAATAGATACTTTTAAAGCCATGTCTTTCACTTGTAATATAGTATTTTACATTCTGATATTGTTGATAAGGATCTGAATACTAGTGTAAAGTAAGTACAAAAGTTTTATCAGTGAAATGTGCTTAAAACATCACCAGTAAAAGTACTTATGGTTGGACTATTGTTACTGATATATTAACGTACAAGCATTGTTTGAATTAAATTTTTATATTGATGGGCATCATACTGCATGTCATTGTTTTGTTTCCTTTCTAATCATTAATACACTTTTACTTTGTGTTCTTTCACCACTATTGAACAAACTGCTGCTGAGAACATGAAGTAAACAGGGGTAATTGCATCATTTTCGCAGCTGATAACAACTACCTTTTTCTCTCTCCCCCTGTCCATAGGCTACCCCAACCTGGCTGAGTCCCTACAGTCAGAGCTGACCCACTGGTGTGATGGGGGAGAGGGGAACCCCCATTTAGGTTCCCGCTCCCACCAAAAGAAACATAATGCCCTGAAGCAGAGCAGTCAAAGCAGAGGTGGTGACTATAAACACATATTGAAACATCATCTTGTACACAAGGGGTTAACAAACACTTTCCACAAGCTGAAATGCCCTCCCATCATCCACTCCCCCCTGGAATGGACTGTCCCATGGATTCACATGACGTGTGTGTGTGTGTGTGTGTGTGTGTGTGTGTGTGTGTGTGTGTGTGTGTGTGTGTGTGTGTGTGTGTGTGTGTGAATGACAGAGAGTGTGTCCGTGCGCGTGTGTGTTCTCTTAGCCATATATATTGGGCCATGTGGACACAGACGTGGAGTTTTGTAGGATAGACTCTGTATTAGCTGCAGGGCTGTTGGCCTCCCTTTCTTCATTTCTCTCTTAAAGAGAACCAGCAGGAATATAAAGCAGCCTTCAGATCTCTCTGCACTGCTTGTTGGTGGGAACTGAGGAACCTTTTCTCTCTGAGTGTCTCGCAGAGTACCTGGCCCTGTAGAAAAAATGAGCGATTTGCTGGACGATGGCTCTTTCATGTTCACGTCGGAGTCCGTGGGAGAGGGACATCCAGGTGAGTCTTCAATCAACTTTAGCTACCTGGGTGTGAAACTGCGACTTAAAGCCACAGTGAAACTTAAGTGTATTTAAGTTTACTGTAAGATATTTCACAACTTGTCACATCTCTTTACACTTTGTTGTAAAAAAAAAAAAAAAAACATTTCAAAAACTTATCTTTACCCTATTCACAGAGAAACAGATTTAGCATTTCTACTAAAACTGCAGTGTTATTTTGCTGAAACACATTCATGCATATGAATTAACTCTGCAAGTGCAAGTTGGCCTATATGTCCAAAATAACTGCTCAGTGCTGCGTAATCGCTCTCCAAGCATGGTTGGTATTCCATTCACAGCAACATGTGTTTACTGCCCCTCACTCTCACTCAGGATGTGAATGTATGTGTGACAGACCGGTGTAAGGTTGCACAGTGAGCAACAACTAAAGGAGGGGAGTGACGTGAACTCTGGGATACAACTGGCACGTTGGCAAAGTGTGCAAAATAGGGATAATAATTTACATGTCAATCCAAAATTCATGCGAACTGCTGCTACAGTACAACTTAACCTGGTTAAAGTATTATCTGTCACATCTGGTCCGATGTCCAAAAATGAACAAGACGTTGCCAACACTTATACTTATGGTATATGACACACTATATTGTCATTATATGCAGATTTAAGATTTTATTTATGTATTTGTCAGCAACTGTAATTTCTCCTGTGGGCACCTGTAAGTGGAGGCTGGTGTATAATTAATAAAACACAGGTGTAATATTATGAAATATTTATTCAGAGGAGCTGTGTACAGCTACATTATAGTGTGTTATAAACCATTTATTAAATGTTCAAATACTGCTTATAAATGCTAAATAGGGGGACCTCAAGTAAAGTGACACCCAGATGTTTTATACTCACCTGAGAAAACTTTTCTAACTTACAACCTAATGATAAAAGTTCAGATAGACTGTGCCCTCTATGCTGCTACCTTTAGACCCCCCCCCCCCACCCCTAACTCCCCCTTGTCAATGTGTTGTAATCCTTTCACAAATACATAACCTCACAAAGTCCCCTGTGCTATATCAATAATCAGTAAACGCAGCACAGTAAACCAGTTGTGCAGCTTCACAGACATTGACAGAACGTGAGACCCTGATATTATGTAACCACAGTGTTTTTTTTTGTATTAAAGTTTTTATAGATTTTTAAATGGTTGTGTTTTGATAGATGGCAAATAGTATATGTTCTTTTTTTTGTAGTTCAATATTATATCTAATTTCATAGATCATAGAGGGTAGACCTTATTTAAAATCATATATATATCAATAAATCAATATTTAAAGACATACTAAAAGACAAATTACAATCATGAAGAGGAAGAAACAAAAGTGAAAGACCTAGTAACCAATGAAACAAAAATGAAGTCTAAAGAGGCACTTCAGCAATTTGGTGAATCCAAAAAAACTCTTTGAAACCATCTTTTATAATAGCTTGCAGTCCATGTTATAATAGGAGTGCTGTGAAGAAAAGCACATGGTTTTTAATTTTCCAGAAAACATGGTCAGCAGTAACAATAACATTTTGTAGTTTATTGTTGTCTGTGTGTGGTTTCTTAAACCAACTGAAGGCAAAACTGCCAGACTTGTGACTTATGACTTTCCATACACTGCTTGTGCATTCACAGAGCTGTGTGGCCTTGATAGAAGGCTGCAGCACACACCTTTTGATGTGATAACACACCTCGAAGTCTGGGTTGTTCCCACAGATAGTGGACATATGTTGTTCTACACCTGCAGAGTCAAGATGAAAAGCATATAATATTGATTTTATTGTTCCACGAAAGAAGAAATTGTGTTAAAACTAGATTTTTTAGGGTTCTAATTGTTGGGTTGAACCAATGCAACCAGATGTTGATGTTGTTTCTGATGTAACCCGTGTGTTGCATTGCTTCAGCAGGGAGACAGAGATGAATGGAGTGTTTTGTGAAGCATTGTCCTGCTGCTGCACTCAAATCCAACTGATCCAACACTCTTCCTGTTTGAAATATTAGTGTGTAACCTTTCAGAGAAATATTTTTAAAGATGGCCTCTCAAGCTAACATCTTCTATTGTTAATATTATGTAAATCCTACTGTAAAAATGCTATAATATATAACTTTCCTTTCCTTCAAACACTGGGATTAGAGCCTGTAAATTAAAACTACCTCTGTTCTGGATATAAACTTTTTGCTTAATGCTTCTCCACAGACAAGATCTGTGACCAGATCAGTGATGCTGTCCTGGATGCTCACCTGAAGCAGGATCCAGATGCCAAAGTGGCCTGTGGTGAGTAAACTAGAATTCATATTGATTAATTAATGTCGTTTTTTTTTAATATGGAGACACAGAGAGAAGTTTTCTCATGCGTCACCTCAATGTAAGTATAGGGGCAACATGTGGTGAGTTCTGACATAGCTGAGTAGAAACAAAGTGACCGACTGCTCCGGATCTCATCTGGAATTTAAGTCATCGGCATTGCTGAGATTAGTTATTGTATTTCTATACTGACCTCTGAATGTCACAAGATGACCACTTGTGAGCGTAAACCCTGTTAACTTACATCAGGCCTGTCATGTTGTTGCAACAGCAATTTCTATGCGATCGAAGTCTAAAAGATCATTTTGTTTTTGTTTTGATCACCAGATGTTTAAAAGCGTTTTTTGTTAAAATGCATTGATTATATTGACAGAGACTGTATGTAAGACCGGCATGGTGTTGCTCTGTGGAGAGATCACATCTCGGGCCAATGTGGACTACCAGAAGGTGGTGAGGGACGCCATCAAACACATCGGCTATGACAACTCCGACAAAGGTGAGGAAGTAACACGGAAATCAACAAAACTATAGCTTGTGCTTGTGTTGGCTTTTCCTCACTCTTTCTCACTCTCATTCGCTTTACTTTTGTAGGTTTCGACTACAAGACGTGTAACGTGCTGGTGGCTCTGGAGCAGCAGAGTCCAGACATTGCTCAGGGTGTCCATGTTGACAGGAAGGAGGAGGATATTGGAGCGGGAGACCAGGTAGGACTGTTGCAACAGGACAATGCGTTCTTTGACTTTCTGTCTCTATCACCCAGTCACTGAGCCAACATGAGTCAAATATCACAGTTTGTTTGACTCAGTTGTTAAAGAACTAGGACAACATGTGGGGGAGGGAATGTTTGTGTTTTCAGTTTTAATTTGCAAAACCTCCATCATGTAGATAATCATTGGTAATGTGGCCAAGCAGCAAACATACATTTTACTGTTGTAGCTGCTTGACGTGGAGCTCGTTTGAACTACTTTATATATAGTTTGGCTGTTTAGTCCTAGTGGTCACATTCCTCTAAAGCGTCAAGATAAATCTGAGGGGTTGTGAGATAATTAATGAGGGTTTGAAAGAAGGAAAATGCTTCTGTATAAGGAGTCATCTTATGAATCTATTCTTATTTTACATGATTTATCTATTTTCTTTATTTTACCAGATTTTATTTCACTTTTTATGTAAATTTGTGTGTTATTACCTATATGTTAACCCTTTGCTGTTGTTCTGTGTGAATTAGTTTGCACTTTGTTTTAAAAGGTGTTCTTCTCATAGATTATATCTTGTCTCAGAACTGATGTTAGGACAATATTTTGCTGTTTTACAGATTCAGCCTACTATTTCCTTGTGATGAACTGTGTCGTTATACTGCACCGTTTACATCTTTCTGTCTCTCTCTCTGCTCTGCAGGGTCTGATGTTCGGCTACGCCACAGATGAGACAGAGGAGTGCATGCCTCTCACCATCGTCTTAGCCCACAAACTCAACTCAAAGATGGCTGAACTCAGACGCAACGGCACCATCACCTGGCTGCGTCCTGACTCTAAAACACAGGTGAGGTTTTGTATTGTTTTACAACCCGTGCAAGTTTGTTTTTTTTCTCACTAAACCGAAACAACACCACAGCAGTCTTCTGTGAATTCGTTTATTGTTTCAAATCTGGATGTCTTCCAAGAGATTTATTTTTGTACCAGCAGACAAAAGCGGATCAACGGTGGCTACTGCAAGTATTTAAGATAAAGCTCTTTGTGTAGAAATAATAGACTTTTGACTGCAGTTAGTCGCTGACTGCAACTCTGTGACATAAAGTGTCTAATGCCTTTGTGTTCCAGGTCAAATAGAGGTTGTTGGAACATCCAGCGATTCGAACACAGAGTTTTAGATTTTTTCCCTGATTGGACTGAACACACATTTTGACTAGACTAAGAAGTATTAATGAATTAATGAATTAACACAGTAACTATGTAATTGCCTGGCCTCCACAGCTTCATACGCCTCATAAATCACAGACTATTACCAATACAGCCTTTTTTCTAGGAGGTTACAAATGCCTTCACAAATGCAGGAAGCTTTGATCCGAAACTGGGGTTCCCTCGAGTGACAGCAGGAAATTGAGGCTGAAAGAGAGCAACAAATTCCAACATCGTGTACCAACTTTTGTCTTCTTGTCTGTTGCACAGGTGACAGTACATTATGACCAGAAGGACGGAGCTGTGATCCCCAAGAGAGTTCACACCATTGTGATCTCTGTTCAGCATGATGACTTCATCACTCTGGAGGAACAGAAGAGGGTGCTCAAGGAAATGGTAGAGCCTCATAAACACACCTGAAAGGACTCTGACTAATGTATTGCTCAGGAAATAAAGTCATATCTTTAATCTTTAATGTTTGATTTTAACAGGTGATCAAGGCCGTGGTTCCTGCTAAATATTTGGACGACAAGACCATCTACCACCTCCAGCCTAGTGGCCGCTTCGTTATTGGAGGACCCCAGGTGACCATCACACACAAACTGCTCATTTAATCTAAAAGGTCTTCAAAGGCACCACAGATTTTTGCTCATCCTCCCCGCCTCTTTTTGCCGAACAGGGTGATGCTGGTGTGACAGGCAGGAAGATCATTGTAGACACATACGGAGGGTGGGGAGCTCACGGTGGCGGAGCTTTCTCTGGCAAAGACTTCTCAAAAGTGGACCGCTCTGCTGCCTACGCCGCTCGCTGGGTGGCCAAGTCTCTGGTAAAGGCCAAACTGTGCAGGAGAGTTCTGGTACAGGTGAGCTTCGTTCATTCACCCCATCCAAACATGCACAAGGGCTGTGCGTAGATGACTGGCGTTTGAAGCATGTGCTTGCTAGTGAAAACACGCCTGTCTGTGTGTGTTACAGGTGTCTTATGCTATTGGAGTGGCCCAACCTCTGTCCATCTCCTTGTTCACCTATGGTTCCTCCCAGAAAACAGAGTCAGAGCTGCTCCAGATTGTCAACAAGAACTTTGATCTGCGGCCAGGAGTCATTGTCAGGTAAACATTGTAGATTGTGTCAATTTTTAAGTGATTATCTTTCAAATGAGTCTGATGGCATGTGTCACTGTGAAAACTGTGATATTACCACTAGGGGGCACCAAAGACATTTTAAAATTGTACACATAGTGACTTTAAGCTGGTAGCCTATTTACTGTCTACATACCAAAGGGTTTATAGCCTAAGCTGGTTTGTAATTCCCATCACTAGATGGGACTTGGAAATACAGAAAACTTAAACACTGATGCCTCTTTAAAAAGTCTAAAATGGCCCGATCCATGATCTATGAGGATCATAAGATTAAGTTCTGTGGGTTCCACATATTGATCTCCCAAACAGAAAAAAACATCTGGCCAAATGAGTTTCCCCAGTGTTACTAATTTAAACATCATCCCAGCTAGCAAAAATTATCATTTCCTAATGTGTATCATATTATTATTATCATATTAAATCACTAAAAGAAACACCATTTACTATTACACTATCTACTACTAATACAGAAACAATAATCACATTTATGATGACATTTCAGATTTGAAGGGGGAATAACTATTTTTTTCACACTGTACAAAAATAATAATAGTCTTCTGTATCCTCCCTAGGGAACTGAACCTGAAGAGACCTATCTACCAGAAAACAGCCTCCTATGGCCACTTTGGACGACCAGAGTTTACTTGGGAGATACCCAAAAAGCTTGTCTTCTAAATACTCCACTTGCTTGTCCTGCTAGACTCCCCTGGAGGCTGAATAAAAAGCCTCCTCATGGGTTACAACTGCCAGCTCCATCAACAGATAGGACGTATCTTTAATAGGAAGACCTAAAGCCAAAGTTAGGGATAAATCAGCTTTAAAGAGGTAATTATAAAGTGGTTGACGGACACGTAATGGGACACTGCAGAGGACATCTCAGTAACCAATTCTCCCCCCAAAAAACATCCAATTCATGGTGCTTTAGGAATACAGGTACATTCACTATTCAAAGATCTTCCCTGATAGCGTAAAGGAACACCACTGCAAATGAAGATAAATACTTCTTCACGACTAGAAGCAGAGTGTTTTACCTCAAAGCTGTGAATGTGCCTACGTGTGACCAGTATCATGTTCATAAACAACCTTGGTGCTTCATTCTCAAAAGTGGCTATTGACAACAGCAAGTGTTTCATCTGTGACTTTCGTATGAATGTCAGAAGTGTAATTGTTGCTCAACCAAAGGCTCGGCTTTAGAAGAAAATTTTATCTTTTTGACATGACTGTAAAATTCCTTTTCTAAGTCTTATTTTGTAATGCGTGCTACGGGAAGCTGTTTGCACTGTTACAATCCCTGCTGTTAAAGAAAACAGGTCATTAAAGCGTGGGGAGAGCTCTTATCTCTTGAACATATGTTACAATCAGTCAAATGTAAAATAGCCATGCAGTCTTGTTGTAGTCACTGCTCTTCTTTGCTGTCATTCTTTCAGCCCTGCTTTGTTTTCTAATATCCAGTCGCTTTTATCGCCGCACAGCTCGCCCGGTGGCTGATTTGTATCTTTATACGTTTTTTTTTTACCTGCAGGCCTGCTGCTTTGACTGAGTCTGTAAATGTGGCTCATTTTAGCAAATACCCATAAGTCTTAACTCTGATTTGATTGTGAGTCAGTCTCTATTCTCTTTGCAGTGGATTACCAAGCTGCACGCTTTGGAGACTAAAGCATTTAGTGGACCACTGATGTCTTAAGATTGCTGCATTTCTACTATGTTATAAGCCAATGCTGATCCAAGTTAATATCCAACAGAATACAATATGCTCCTTCTATATCTTTGTGATGTTAATTTCTTACTCAATGTGAAGTTTGCTCCATCTGAAAATATCTAGTCTAGTTGCACTGCAGCTCTATATCGCAGAGCGAGATCCTTCCCCGTGAATTTAGAGGAAAAAAGGGAGTGTGTGTTAAAATATTTCTCAGAGCATTTAGTAAACTTAAAGTCAGCTTTCAACATGGCTTAATCACAAAGTATTTAATCTGATTCTTTCCTTCTGAAACACTTCTAATGGGATCGAGGAAGTGTGACCAGTACTCACTTTAAAACTTCATGTCAGTGGTAAAGTTTAGGACTTTGTGGTGAGCCTAACAACCCATGCTCTCATCTACAGCTGACATTGTTTTTGTAAGAAGAGGTTTTCCTCTATTTAATGTGTTGATCTGTGTCATCTTCTGTCGACTTTGTCGGCAGAGAAACTGGACAATGTAAATAATTAAACAATAAAGAAAATTACAGATATAAACTGTTGTCTGGCCCTTTTTACAACATGCTGGATTAAAGTTATGTGGTGAAGAGGAATTTGACTTAAATTAAGCTTTTTTCAAACAGTTTTTATTTGTTGAACATTAAGGCATATATATATTTATATATATATACAATCATATGACTTTTCTTCAAAATAGAATTTACAACCTAAACCTCTTTGGTTTTCATTATCAAAATAATACATAAGGCACATAGGGAGCATTTTGCATTTGAGTATTGAGCATAGGATTTTTCTGAGGTCTACTGTACAAATGTTAGTTTGTCAGAATGCTCTCACCAATGATCTACTGATTGCATGAATAAACTATAGTTTCTTGCAGATATTTAACCATGTGTGTGAGCAGCATAAGCATTCTCACAAGCTAACAACACAGGAATGTTTATTTTTAAGCTTTACAGAGTCTTGATTAACAAAAATAATCTATTATATTATGGCTAACCGTTGCACCTATACTACACAAAACAAATAAACACAGAATTCCATTAAAACAAAGACAACAGAAGGCAGGGGCAAGCAGAGTTCATTCTGCTTTGAATCAAACAATGCAGCTGGTGTTGTAACATTTTCCTGAGTGCAAAGTTCAGAGAGATCAGTAAACGAGAAAAAAGGGCAGAAAGTAGAGAGGCTGACATGACGTAACACGAAGAGTTATGTCATGTCAGCCTTGCACGCAACGCAAAATGTGAATCTGACTGAAAGAAAGAGAATATTTTGAGTCATTTTTGTTGATTTCAATTGACAACAGGGACAGTATGCATACATTCCTAACATGCATAAACCATTAATTAAAATAAAAACACTTACAGTCACTGCGTAACAATAAAATGTTTTTGCTAGAGCAGCATGAGCAGCACCATCATTTGACTTAACATTTAACATCCATGAAATCTTTACTGTGATTTGTTAGAGGAATGCAGATTGTAGTAAGTAGTGTCACTTCAAAGAGATGCCAGGTAGAACGATGTGAAGATCACTGCTGAACTGAAGCCATACACACAGCACAGGCTGTTCTGACACCTTCTTAGTAAATTTAGAAGTCAAACAAAAGCGGATTTGGCCTTAATGTGTAGCTGACTGAACATTCTTGGCTGTGGATATAAAAATGTAAATTTTTTTTCAAGTAGAAAACCTGTGAGCTGAGCTACAACATTACAGCTCCGATTGCAACACAAACTGATATGCAATAAGCAGTTTGACCAGTAGAGAGAAGCAAGTGATCAGTGGTGTAGCTGGTGTTGTTTCCATCCTTCCAGCTCATTCCACAGTGCAGCATGCACAAGCTTTTCCACTTCAGTCTTGTTGAGAGTATTTATACATTCAGTCTGACAGTAAATTACTACATTTCAGTCCTTCTGTAACAGACTGTAAAGCTGTGTTTGAAGAACGGTCTTTTGAGCAACTAAACCACTTGCACCCAAAATACTGGCACTAACGAAACCTGGCAAAACATGTGGCCAGTTGTAGTATGAGGGAGTGATATTTTTACCGCGTGATGGCCTACTAATAAGACTATTATTGTTGTAAACCCTCTGCCTGCCCTGGTTTTCCACCAGAGAGTGCAGAGTGTGTTAGTATTACACTGAGATGTTGAACATTTCCTAAAAATATACAATAATTCTGGCACAACGCATCGCAGAACGCCAGAGAAAGTCAACAAATTCAATCAACATTTGAATATCTGCACAGAGGGACAACTGAAACAAAACGATATGCAACCATGAGGCTAAACTACACTGACACGTATTAATCAGTGTAGGTATTAGCACTAGTAGTGACAAATATCTACTTTGGTATTCCTGGCACTCACAGGCGTGCATGCAACCTTCTGTCCTTGCTCCTTCCACTATCAGCAGTCCATGATGACACTGACCCTATGTCTCTATCTTATTGCTTTCTTTTGTCAGACATTATCAGAATCACAGCTAAACTCTGTGAAAAATGACAGGATAAGGCCTTTTGTGCTTTAGCACCGATACCACAGGCAAGCTGATATTTGGCATATTGTCTGTTGTGCAGTAACACAGAGGCAGGACAGTGCATCTCAGTTATATTGTTCTTTTTCCCTTTGTACTGCTACAACGGCTAGACACGCTGAAAAAAACTTGACAGTTTCTGAGATTTAAAAAAAAAAGTAAGCAGGTAAAGCAATAAGAGCATGTTCTGCCCCTCCTTGTTGGGGAATAATGAGATGCAGACCTCCGTCCATAGGACCAGAAAACACGTGTGGTGCCTCGTCACTAAACTCAATAAACCCAGAGCTCTGGCTTGAATTAGCTGGTACACATTTGGCCTCTGGACACTGTATCATCTCTCTTTCATATTCTTTCACTCTACAGACTGGAGGTTAAATCAGATGCTATGTGAGGTTTAAGGGCGATATAGTGTAACGATCCTAACAATAAGAGGGTTTCAGAAGATTTAAATTCATGGGCACCACTGTAGGTTCTGTATGCAGTTGAAATAATTATAATTATATGGCACATCACCCAAAGCATCCAGACACCAAAACAAAATGTGCACTGGGTGTGGTTTCCATGGATACTTAGAAATCAGTTTTTGCTTGCATATGTGGTGTTGCTGATAAACATGAAGTTACTGATGGTACATCTTTTAAACCTGCATAAGCAATTTTTTAACCACAAAACAAACTGACAGAAGTTGTTACAGCCAACACCTACTGCATACTTATACAGCACACATAACACAGGGCAACATTATGAGTCCAATATTCACTTTACTTTAAAAGCTTGGTTAACCAACCGACACATACAGCTTGGTCTTCAGCTTGCCAAATGGTCAACTTGTTTTTTTTACCATCTACTCGTTAACTTTTTAGAGTAGGGTGTTATTTCTCAGGGGATTTGATTTTGGATGAAGAACTCTTTCACATATCAAAAATATTGCTTAATGCAGGTTTAAATGATATATGATGAAAAATCCAGACCGCTGCCCTCTTCTATCTCAAGGATGTATTGAAACATTCATATACTCTTCTATCTGACAGTCTTCCTTGAATTTATTGCATTCATCTATTCTCTCGTGGAAACAAGCCTCAGGTCTGACCTTGCTCGCACTGTAACACTCATACACCATCTTCTCTCTCTCTCTCTCTTTCTGCTTCTCTCTGTCTGACTACTTGAATACTGCCAGCTAGGCTGTCCAGCAGCCGTCACTCCTCCTTTACGTACAATAAAAGCATCATGGCAGTCACCTGAAGTGGGTATGGCACTTTCTTAGACATGTTATGGGGGGGAACAGTACATTTTCTTGATCTGATTGACAAAATACTCCTCTCCTGGTCGCTGGGGACAGAACTGAGTTGGGAGAAAATTTGGTTTCACACTTGTGCCATGTGCAAAATGCAAACAAGTTCTTTAGAGACACCAAGCTCTGATGTGAGGACAATACAGGCGGAGCTCTCCACTGTGGCAGTAGATCTACACCCCTGGAGTTGAAATAGTAGAAACCACTCTGCCGTGAACGGCGACTGCAATGGCCTGGTTCATTTCAAAGCTTCAGACGAATTTGGCTGGAAATGCATAATTAAACTCAATCCGACAACTGGAGTTTGAAAGGAATAAAGAAGCCAACCGGGTGGCATCGAGATGTGCCAGCGGGCTACAGTATGGACATGCTTTCAGGTTGGTGTGGATGTGGCTGCGAGTGTGAGCCGGGACCTCCCAGCGCTTCCACCTTGTGTGCTCTCCCAGCAGGTCCGAGGGCCCCTCCTCTAGCCAGCACCGCCATAGTATCTCCTGACATGCTGGCAAACTCAAAGGCAAATGTCCCGTAAAACAGCATGATGATGACGCAGAACACCCATTCAAAGATGGCCGACGCGTGTTGCAGGACAAAGCTCTCCTGACAGAAAAACACACCACCTGAAAACATGGTTAAGGACAACAACAGCAAAGTACTGTAGACAGCCTGTGCTTCCCAATCTGTTCATGTGTAGACAGCCTAACATCAGTCAGTAAAAACTATCTTTGAATGCTCTTACATAGATAAAAAAGCTGCTGCTCAGAAGAAAAATGGCACTGCTTCAAAAAGAAAAATATGGGGCTGTGTTGGTGTGGGCAGAGGGGTTTAAAGTTCTGGCAACAGGTTATATTGATTTGTATTTTAGGTTTCTGGAGATATATATATAACAATAATAAAGGTAGGTGGAAGGACCAAAAATAACATAAAAAGACTTTAGGATTTGACATTAAATACTGGAGGGAAACTGTAGTTATATAATGTTAAGGTGATGTGTCTGTCCTTAATCAGGCTGGCAGTACTACACTCTATTCTAAAGCACTTGACAGCCTCGAAGGCTGCCATCTGTTAGTGGCTGAAGAGGATACTGAGTACCAAGGCTACGAAGGCCAGCAGGGTCATGCAGAGCCGGAGGTGGGCCACGTTGTACTCCCCCTGGGTCTTGGCCAGTCGGTAAGTCAGTGCTGACTGCAGGCACACAAACAGCATACTGGTTGGGAAGGCAATGCCTGCTCCGACATAGTGGAGAACTTTGGCATTATCCACCTGTCACATGGAGAAAGGGGACAGGAGAAGAAAGAGGGGTTACAGTCAAACAGGATAGATAATACACAAAATCAGAGAGCTTCTGTAGCAAGATGTTGGTTCACATTATTCATTGTTGTGTAATACTTTGTCTGAGGCCTCTTAGACTTCTTTAAAGGAGCCAAAGATGAATATGTGAAAAAGAGAGGGTGACATGCAATAAACTACAAGCAACACAACAGAACGCCTCCTTTTCCCTGCTGGTCACAAGAACGATAAGAAACAATACACAAAAGAGCTGCTCAGGAGCATGTGACCAGAGCTCCCACTGCAGGACGGACACACACACACACACACACACACACACACACACACACACACACACACACACACACACACACACACACACACACACACACACACACACACACACACACACACACACACACACACACAGCTCAGATGCACTGATCAGAACAGATAAGAGAGTCAATAGAGCATTAACCAAAGCTAGAAACACACCTCCAAGGACTAGATTAATCAGGACAGGTGATAATTGCTTTTCTTGGCTAATGCTAAATGGTTAAAGCCTTCTGTTTGGGATAACAATGTCCGTCTGCTCCACATAACTGTTAGGGATCATTAGAGCAATAGCCTAGAAGTTATTTAGTTTTGGCCTCTAAGCCATTTGTCCATTGACCTGGCTAGTACATACTGAACATTCTTGTGCAGTAGGCTAATCCTTGAAGTGACAAAGTAAGATTTCCAGACAATTAAATATGAAAAGCACACATAGCAATATGAGCTTTTACTAAGATGTGTCTGTGACATTTGCAGATGGGAGAGAAATCACAGCAAGGGTTTTCACATTTCTCTCAGGTTTTTGATCAAAAAGCAGTGATTTGTTCAAAGTGTGAATTCTAATTAAGTCTACTACGCTTTCATCATACAGTGGCTGTTACAAAATCCTATTTCTTCTTCTGCATCACTTCTCTACAGTGACTACATCAAGCTGACACTGTGGGGGTCTGAGTGCCGCAGTTCTGCCAATCTGTTACTCTCAAAGCTCAGTAATGGAAAAACACTCAAACGCACAACCAACAACCAAATGCTTTGTTCTCCCGGCACCTTCTTGTTTTAGCTGACGTCGTGTCCATACCAGAGCTGAAATGATTAATCTATCGAAAGAAACTAAATCTGCAAAAATTGCCGCTTCTCACTTGTGAGGATTATTTGCTGCTTGTCTTTGTCTGATGTGACTGTAAACTGAATATCTTTATTTTTGGACAGATTTTTGGCTAATCCGAAGTTGTCACCTTGGGCCTTAGGAAATTGTGACATTTTATAGACCGAAAAATGTATTTATCAAGAAAATAACCAGCAGGAAATAATTGTATGTTGCAGCCTTAATCCATACAGTCTACAACAGTCTGTACTGCTTGCATGCAAGTGTATGTCATCAAGCCATCAAGTAAACCTTTTTCTGTTCTACTTTATGTATGTTTTCACACTTTACACGATATGCCAGGGCCATGCACGTTAGAGACAATGGTAAGAAGGGGGACAGGGTGGGGGGGGGGGTTTGGATGAAACAATGACGAGGATGAAAATCTGATGAATGGTGAAAGCAGTGAAGTGGACTAAAATGTGGCAACAGAAGCAGTAAGAAACAACGGAGACAGGAGAGACACATGGGGGGGTGATACATGAGGATGAGGTGAAGACTGCATGTGCTCATCAGAAACTACAGTGCTGCAGCTAAAAGTCCAGAATGTGTGCCTACACATTAAACATACAGTACTCCATCACTGTCAATCTTTAAGGTCTTAGACATGATGCGCTGCATGATGACTAAGCAGGATCAACCTGATAAATGAGTTCCTGCAGGCTGACACTGACCAACAGTTCCTCTGCATAAATGAATAGTAATGGTGTTCACACAGTGCAATGTATGAATCAGCAGAGCTCACACTCCCTAGAGAGGGAACTGGTCACAATAGTAAATGTGTGTGCAGTGAGGGGATTTTGGATAAACTTTGGATTGTGTATTATTATTATTATTATACAGAATGTTAAAAGTGTGCGGCGTGATAAGAGCTGTGAAGATTGTACATGTGGGAACAAGCCCAACTGATTGCTTACGGTTTACACTTTCTGGGAATTGAAGCAAATGAGATGAAATGAAACTCTACTGACTTCCAGCCGTTGACAACACACCTGCACTACCAAAATCTGTAACAGGAAATGTCACCACAACCACCACCTATTGCGAAAGCACTTTAGACCTTCAGCTTGAAAACAAACCAAAATGTTCCCAGTCTTTCATAATAATTTACAATATGCAATGTTATGGAAAGAAGGGAACACATTTCTACAATACTAGTTCAGCTTTTGGTTAGGTAGCTTCAGAGGTGCTGGTAGGAAGATTTTACCTTTGGACAGAGCCAGGCTAGCTGTTTCCCTCGTTGGTGTTCGTGCAAGGCTAAGCTAACCAGCTGCTGGCTGTGGCTTCATTTTTACCAATCAGACATAAGAGTGATATTAATCCTCTCATTTAACTTTCAGAAACAAAGCAAATCAAAATTCCCATTTCCTTTAAGGTCAATTCCTTTGCAGGCACATGATTGTTCACAAATAATTTTTTCAGGAATGTCTGATACAGACAGGACTCCCTCTGAATGCAGTTGGAAACTGCAGCATCAACAGTGGACAACATCTGAACATGTGTCATTATCAGTCGTGCCGTGTCACACTCATGGACCTCTGTATGGAAGTGATGTGGTTCTCCATCATCTATTTATGTGCTTCTCTGCCCAAACCGTCAGACTGCATGACAGGAAAAGCCCCAGTGGCTACACCACAGCTTTGCTGCCAAAGAATTACATAACACACAGCTACAAATTGAAGTAGTTGCCTCCCCGGAGCATGCTGCCATGTGTTGTGTTTTTGGTGCTTTGACTCTCTTCGACTTTGGCTGTCGTCCTCTCCTCTGACTCCAACTTGTTTGTGGTGTTTGCTGTGTCCAGATGTTTTTGAGCCTGTTCATTTACGTCTGTGGTTAATTTTACAGCAGAATTTTTATTCTGTCATGTGGTTTAAACGGTTTATTCACCATCAACAACATCTCTATTGCCATTCCACTAGAATGTCTCTGACTGCAAGAAATGCAACTGGCTACGATCAGCTCTGTGATTGGTTATAAACGGGGCCTCTGCCACACACACCCTGTCTGCCCAGCTCCTCTCCATGCATGGCCAGACTTGATGACTCACTTCCCCCTGGCTCTTCCCGTAAAATTCCTCCCAGTTCTGCAGAGCAGAGGCCCTAGAGGAGAAGCGGGAAGAAGGTGAAGACGACCCTGTGCATTCTCAGAAAACTTTCCACTGCACATCTTTTCGACACACTCCTGGAAGACTCTTCTTCTTCGTCACACAGTAAACTTAGATTAGATTAACTAAGATGTCATGAGTCATCCGCAGAAAACATTTAGTAAAGTATCCATCTCATCTCTACCACTCCCCTGACACACAGAATGAGCACAGTCCCATATGGAGTAGCGCTGGCTATTCAGTCATGCTTCCTCCATTTCCACGACAACAACAATATGGTGAATTATATATGATAGTGTCGCAGGATCTTCTTCTAAATAACCCAAACATCTTATACTGATCAATGATAAGCTAATAAAAAGGAAGACTATTCAAGAAGAGAGGACACATGGCCAAGTATGAAAGAATTTAATGTATCCAAAGGTACTAAAAGCTTTAAAACTCTTGGATTCTTACGTGGCTGTAATACACTGTAGATAGCGGAGACATTATGCCATGAAACATGTTTTCAATCAAACATAAAGTTTAACACTGCATGTGTTTTATAACTAGTATCAAAAAGAGAAGGGGGTGTTTTGGTGGTCGAGAGGACCAATGTGCATACCATGTGAGTCACATGGCCTCTCCATCCTCGTCTCTCTCCCAGTATTGAACTATTTAACAATCTTTTAAAAGTTGAAGGTCAAAACCAGAATGGAAACAACATTTCACAGAGGTATTCAGCTTTTCATCAGAAACCAAACTGTGTCTATTTTGTCTTTTAACTTCACATTTCTTATGTACCAAGGATGTCTTATTAAAGCTTCCCGTAACTCTCACTCCCTTTTTCTTTCTTCAAAAGGACACACTCTCACACTCACACACTCACACACTCACAGTCAAGGCATACGGCCAGGGCTCCAAATATTTAAGAAATTCAAATATCTACAGGGAAGGAATTCAGGTTGGATTTCCTCACTCAGTGCCAAAGTTTTAACACTAAACTACCAGAAAGAACAGTGCAGGACTGTGTCTATGAAGGCAAGGCAGACTTGAATACACCTTAATGCTGATTTACTAAGAAATACAAGGTGTGTATGTGCGTGTGAGATAAAGACGGGGGGAGAGAAGGGGTCAATAAAGGAAGATTGAAGCAAACCCAAAAAGCAGAGGCCTGAATATCACTGACAAAACACAGAGACAATCTAATGACAGTCTTATCTTCAGGGCTGCAACTAATAGTTACTTTCTTTTTCAAAAATTCTGCAGATTATTTTGTTGAGTAATTGTTTGGTCTACAAAACATCTGAAGACAAATACTCATAATATCCTCGAAATGGGCCAACCAACAGTATAAAAAAAATTTATATATTCAACACTATGTGTAAGACCACAAAAAGCAACAAATCCTCACATTTAAGAAACTGTAACCAGAGAATTTTTGACTGAAAAATTACTTTAATGATTAACACAAAGTAGTTGCTGATAAATTTTCTGATATTCTTCCAATGAATGTATCAACTAATTGCTACAGATGTATTACTGTCAAACAGTTTGTTTTATATTTCCCATTGATGGATTATTGTTATGCTCTCTCATGCTCTCATATGCCTGCACACACAAACTGTGTCACTTTATATTTCTCTGGTGAAATCTTACTATGCTAGATCTTTTCCATCATTTCATGTAAATTTCTATTATTGCATTTGAGCTCTGTTTGTTTTCCTGGGCAAGTAAACTGGATCACCGTACCTGGAAGTTGCCCACCATGATGAGTCCAGCGGCACAGATCCAGCCTGTGGAGAGACTCGCCGTGTTGAGAACACAATTTTGGTGCTTTTCAATGACGTGGGCATAGCGGAGCAGCACAATCACCATAACTACAGACAAAGAGACACATACAGAAACACAGAAGATCAGTCAGTTATTGGTGGTTCAGCAGATAAATAACACATCAAAATCCCATCAGAAAAGGAAGAATTTGGAAAAGTAATATTATTCCACACTGACTGGCTTCAATTCAATACAAATACTTCTCACACCTCATTTAGCCAAATTACGCAAGAATTTCTTGGAAAGTGATTAAGAGTTACACAAAGTGTAATTTCTCTGCCTAACAAGTGGGAGGATAAGAGGCAGGAAATGGCGGGAAAGTGGTAACGATACATGGGAGGGGGTTGGCCCAAGTCTCGCATAACATTAATAGGTGGAGGCAAACTAAGTACAGTATATGGGACAGATGGCTGCTGATGTGCTAATGCGTTGTGACTAGGGGTATTGTTGGTGCACTGAGGAGCTAACCCCCGCCTGGTTTCTCTTTGTTAGCTCCTCACGGCTGGTGCTTGACGAAGGCTGACTGGGCTTGGTGAAAGCAGGGCATAGGGGGTGAATGGAAAAGAGGAGGGGGAGAGGGGAAAAGAAGCCCCTCGTGTCTTGACCTGAAGCCCATACATTGTCTCGGAGACAGAACTGTGTCTTAACTCTATCACCATCTCTGTATAACAGACATGTTTTAAGACGATCTACGATGCCAAAAGAGAATATAAATGGAAACTGTGGTCACAGAGAGGAAAAAAAACGTAGTGCAGTACTTGACAATGTAAAGCTTTGTCTCCACTAGTCAGGGTTTGGATATGCTGTGGCCTGTCTGCTGCTCTAAACCAGTGTCACAATGACGAGACACTTTTCATAACCTGGCCAAAACCTCAATGTGACTGTTTTTATTTATTTATTACATTTATCTTTTATTCACAATGTTGTTGTTGTTGTTTGTTGCAGCAGCAACAAATTATCTTGTGTTAGTTATTTTGTTGTGACAGGCTATTTTGATCAACAGAAAGATAAATTATAGTCACAAATATAAATCTGGGAGAGAATTTCAACAATGAAGGACCAATCATCACAACACCATTGTTGAAAACATCAACATTGGTCAACAGGGTCTGTTCGTCGTACTGAAATGTAAAAAGCATTTAAATATTTTGTTTTACAGCTGAATGTTATTTCAACATGGATTTTTGGAATATAGGATTAACTGTGAAATGTTGTGTTTTTGTCCATTCTGGGCTACTGTACAAACAAGGCGGTTCAACATGAAGGCCTCTGTGGAAGAGGAAATGTTTCATTCTAAGGTAACAAAAACAGTTCTTATTTTCATTACACACTAATGAAAATATACCTATGAATTTGATATTCAACTTCTGCCAATAGATCCTCCTAATTAATACACACTGGACCTTTTACATCTATTGTGATTAATCATATAAATAAATATAATTTAATCATCATTTATTTAACAGGGACCATAGACATAAGCAAGAAATGTAATGCATACAGAGCGTCAGAGCTGTAGCTAATTTGTAAGATATATTTGTTGTAAGAATGTATAGCAGTGTTATGTTTGTTCAGATCCTCAAGCCCTACCTTGAGAGTGTGTGTTCTTGTTTGTGTGAGCTGCCCTGTGTTCCCACAGTACTAAAATCATCTTGGCAAAGTGATTTCAGTTACAATCATGGAAAAACAAACAGCAGTGTCTCCAGGCTCGGAAACAATCTTGTCTTTGTTTTGTTTTTTTCCTACTCCTTTTTTTTTCTTTTTGTAAATGGAGAACATACTGTGTTGCTGAAGGGACAAGAAAGTCAACTGCAGTTTATTTCATTAGATTATGGCATCTCAGTCTCTCTGCTGCAGACTGGCTGGCTGTGGATTTTTCCTATTTCAACAAAATGACTTTTTCATCATCACAAATGAGCATGTTTGAACTCGCTGGCATTTAGCAGTTACCATGAAATGATGTAAGCTAGGCCTGAGGGTTAAAGACACAATAGAACATTTTCCCCATTACTCACTACAACCACATCCACGTTTTGCTTTTACTTTGTGCACTATAAAAGGCACATTAGTGAGTGGTGTTTTTCTGGTGTATTTCTTTGGAGGATGCATGTCATGCTGAGAGGTTGCAGGCTCCTACAGCATAAGGGTTGCATGTCACATGGGTAAGCCTCGAAAGTGACCTCCACCTGGCCTCACATGGTCAGGGCAAGCTGTTGTCTGACAGCTCAACAACAGGAATAAGTTTACATAAACACACCATGCCAGTGTCCTGAACACAGTCCCAGCTATAGTCACCTTCCACACAGCCGCCCTCTTCCGGATTGAACTACTTTTCTCTGAAGTCAGGAAGCCCAAGGGAGGAAGCAGAGTCTGGGCTTAAACACTGACTCACACACTAGACACCAATGCTACTCTATCATAGACGTCACCTTGCAACAACGTGGACACACTCTAATGAATGAGCAACCCTGCTGTCACAAGCACAGATTTGTTTTTGTGTTCACACACATAGGTGCACACTAAAATGCGCATACATACACACACACACACACACACACACACACACACACACACACACACACACACACACACACACACACACACACACACACACACACACACACACACACACGTGCATATTCCCACTGAAGTCACATCAGCCACACCACACCTCACCGTTAAATAAACCCTGCTGCTCCCACAGGGAGATACGTTTCAACCCAAACACCCAGCTGCATTCTCCCCCACAGAAGGTATGCTGAGAAAGAATACATGCATTGTCTTTGAATCACTGTGTGTACACTGGCAGCGAGGTGGGAACTGGGATAAAAACGAGAAGAATAATTATGAGGCAACGTACAGTTCATTGAGTCCATCTTATCCCACATAGGAGTGAACCCCTGAGCCAACTATAGCAGGCACAATCTACAAAGTACGGCATAAATCAATAGGCTAAAAAGCTAAGCACTGATTATTTACAATGGCCTGTTGTACAGCTACATGCCACATTGGCTTAACCTACTTCTTCAGAGCCACAATAACTTGCTTTACAACAGGTATTAACATATACTATGTTCAGACTGAATGAATGGTGAAGAAATAAAATAAAAACACACAAGGAAGTTGTAAATGCAACCCATGTCACCTGAAGATTGAAGCACTCAAACCAAACGCTGAGGAGGTTACAGACGTATTCGACCAGCTGTCAAAGCAGTTTGACTCAAATGCAGCCACAAAAAGTACAACCACTATTTATTTAAATTTTATGCAGACAGATTAAACTAAATAATTAAAGAAATTTGGTTCAAACAGAAAGCAGGCGTGATGTTACATGTCTGTCAGACATTGACATCTCTATGTTTTGCAAGGGATCAGAGAAGTGTCTACTTTTAATGTAATCCATGTGTAGAGTAAGAAACAAGATATCAGCTATAAAATATCAAAAAATAAAAAAAATTCTTTTGTTTTATAACAATTTTGTTTGATCAGCAGTCCAAAACCCAAATATATTCAGTTTACGATTATAGAAAACAAATACAAGCAGTAAGTATTCCCACTTGAAAGGCTGGAAAAAGGGAATTTTGGTCATTTTTGCTTGAAAAATGTTGTTGCAGATAAACTTTTTTATCGACCAACTAATCAATTAAACACTCAAGCTATGTGTTTATGTTAAATAATTATTACTGGCCGATATGTATTATTCTTACATTACTGTATTTATTATCATATGGATTCTATTTATTATCTCACACTGATGGATGCTCACGTATTCTCCTGTTTCATGTAGTGTGTTGTTCTGTGATTGTTTACCTGCCCAGGGACGACAGATGTAAATTAGCAGTTAGCTAACTCTGATGCAATTGTTTTTAATTGTGCGCTTTGCAAAAATAAACAAATAAAAGTTTAAACAAATATAAATATCTGCCTCAAAAATCAGGTATCAGTTAGGTTATAATCCAGTTAAACTACTTCTGGGAACGATCTGGACAGAAGACACACCTTGTATTTACCAGTAGCTATAGTTACGACTAGTGGAGTGTATTCTTAAAAACAGGCAGTATGATTTTGATAGTACAGACTATTGTGTAAGGAGTAATGCGCCAAGATAGCTCCGTAGACAAACACACTTAACTGTTACCACACAATTACATCCAAGTCATCTTGCATAGAACATTAACAGTCATCATGTTGAGCAATGTGGAGACAGGAAATCTGCAATATAATGATGCATTTGGTAGGCTTCAAACTATGAGAAGCAAAATTGTTTGGCTGCTACATTGTTTGGTTACCACATAACAATTTCTGAATTGACTTGCCTTTCTGTAGAGTAACAAAACAATCACAGTGCGGTGTTTAGCCTACCTTTTTCTTGAACAAATATGTATGTGTGCACCATGCCAACAGACTGACCTACTGCAGTTCAGGGGTCATGGTTGACCAACAGTGCTGGACAAATGCTGGACTTTCACTGCTGCCTGAGCAGACTTCACACTGAGCTGCAACTGTCTGGTCCTTAACAAGATCCCTCAAGCAGTGCACTATATCCAGTCTCTCTCCACATACACAGAAAGGCTCTCCCCATGTTTCCTACAGGCAAACCCAGAGCTGTGATCTGGATCTCAACAACACACAGCACACAGCTTAACAAAGTTGAAAGTTGTTTTTGTTTTTTTAATCTACTAGGATCATTGTTTTATCATGTCTCTGCCTTTCTCTCAGATGTATCAAGCAGCAGTCAAGAGTGGCCAATCAGACAGACAGGCAGGCCTTAAATAGCTGCAAGAGGCATGGAGGCTCCTTATGAAAAGACAAACAAGGCAAAGGAACCTCTCCCCCGCTTTATATTCATTCACTCCCACCACACACACACACACACACACACACACACACACACACGTACGTCAAAGCCACAGCTGGGAAACATTAACCCGATCGGGGTAGTCAGAACCACCAGCTAACACAGGGAACAGCACGTGTAGACTCACAAAAAACATACAGGCCAGCACATGGGAGCTCATTCCCTTCTTTTATATCATGTGTGTTTTCCTTGTGACTACTAAACAGCACATAATGTGTGTGTGTGTGTGTGTGTGTGTGTGTGTGTGTGTGTGCTGCTTGTACATTTGTGCATTACTTTGTATGAAAGCATTCTCATCGTCATTTGTACTTCCCCCTTCCATTCAAACTGACCACGTTCAAGGTTTTCACTGGCTCTTCACACAATCAGCTTTTTTCTAAGGGCAACAAAACGTTGTTAATGGAAAATTAGTTACTCTGAAGCCTTAAAATAACCAAGAGTTGATCAAAAGAACTACATTACAGTACGTTACAGTACCTAAAGGAAACTCTCTCCTGCTGATGTAGTTTGAGGAACACATTTTATTATAACTGTGTGTAGGAGAAACTACGGTGGCCATGAAACGCTACCAAGGCCCTATCTACAGCCAGTGTTTGGCTTGTTTGTTCTGGGTTACTATAGAAACATGGTGGTTCAACATGGCAGATTCCATGGAAAGCTTCTGTAGATAAAAATGGCTCATTCTAAGGTAACAAAAACAGAACGATTCCTATATATACACTATATTCCTATAGTATAGCATACCTATGAATATAACCTTTAACATATTTATTTTATAGAAGTATTTTCTTGTATATTATACAGACAGAAAATGTGTCCGCAACTGTTTTGATAGTTGATTGATTTGTCATTTTTAAAGAAAGATATGTGCTTGTTCCAGGTTTGAAATGTTAGGATTTAATGATATTTTCTATTCTGCATGATAGTAACCTGAATATCAAAAGGTTTTTAACGGTTGGTCAGCAAAAAAACAAGACATTTGAACATGTCACCTTGGCCTCTGGAAATTTGCAGATTGATGGATAATTAAAATAATTGCTAGTTGAAGCCCTAATATTATGTTAGTTCTTATCAGTGATAAGAGGGTGACTCATAGCAGGAATCGAAGTTGATCAAAGTTGATATCAATGATTGCGGTGTGTGTGTGTGTGTGTGTGTGTGTGTGTGTGTGCTGTGTGTGTATTGTTTGTGTGTACACATGATGCCTTACCCATAAAAGATCCTGTGCTGCAGATAAGGCTGAAGAAGCAGCTCTCAGGGGGAAGAGTCCCACATTTACTGGAAGACAGAGTACACAGAAATAAACCAGAGAAATACTGTGAATCAACATACGCAGTATACTACACAGCAACAGTGCCACTAATTCCCCTACTCTGAAATATAGCATGTTTTTAGAAATACATATCTGCTCATGCAATAAGGAAGTAAGGGGGGGGCTTTGACTTTTCACCTACTGCTCCTCCTCTAGGAATGGGAAATGTTTGTAGGAGGGGAAGGCAGAAGACAGTCAACACAGGCTGTCTGTGCCCAAGCTCCTGCTGCCTACAAGCCAAAGCCTTCTCAGCTGACTGCAGTCACACACACATTCTTCATATGAAAATGTAAAAATCAGTACACTCTTCTCACACTGATCATTTTTAAACAATTATTTGATGTATTTAGCATTATGATGGATGGCTATGGACATAAATTGTATACATTTTGCAAAAAAGGAGGCATTTCAACTGTAATTGAACAAATATTTTGAGAGCTACTTTACATTTCTGGACACATTATCATGCTCATTACCTGTCATCTGCGTTTAGATGAAAACATAAGCAGTGATTTCTTTGCATTTTATATACAAACCACAGTATTTCCACTCTACAACTGGCCTTTGATGTTGAAAGCTCTGTGGGACAAAAAGCTAAACAAAAGGAGCTGGGAGTGTCTTGATTTCTTCCCAAATGTAAGCCGACTCCTCTGCATGTGTGTTTACATGGTAAAGTGCAGACCCATGCTTTGCCTCTGAACTGCCACGGTGGCAGGCAGGATATTCCAGCCCCAAGTTATTTTCAGAATCCACACACACACACACAGTCACACTCTCAGGAGAACTGTCTCCTTCAAGCTCACTCGCTTTCTATCAACAATGTGCAGACAGGGGTCATGTAATACAATGGGACGGTGTTCCTGTTTTTAACCACCAAACAGAAACTAGAAACAAAGTGACAGAAAAGAGACATGGGAACAGACAGGAAGAGGTAGGGCTGGGAATCTCACTGACCTGATGAGAGGTACATTGTCTAGTGTGCAGCACAAGGTTGGCCCACTCTGCAAATACAGCTCCTCTTCACATGACTGGTTGTACAACCTGGAACACCAAACATGCATGCACATGAGCAAGCACACACACAAAGTACTGCAAAGCTCAATGTTAAAAGATAGACATATGGGGCAAAATCACTTTTATGTTAAGTTAAAGTAATAGCAATAGTAATATTTGACGAATGAATTGAGAACAATTGCCAATATTAAATCGCAGTTTAGATCCATGTTAAATGTCCAGTGTGTAACATTCAGCAGGATCTACCGGTAGAAATATAATCTAATATCCATAGATATGTTTTCATAAGTGATTAATCACCTGGACATAAGAATCGTTGTGTTTCGTTACCTCAGAATGAGCAGTTTTCATCTCCAGGAGGAGCGGATGTCTACAGTGTACCGTTTCTACAGTAGCCCAGAACAGACAAACCAAATACCTGCTTCAGATAGAGCGTTTTTGCATTTATTGCAAGTTACACAGCCACTGTAGTTTCTTCTACAAGCTTGGAATGGGAAACGAGGGGGTTGTAATCTACGACTACACCGTGAGATGGCACTAAATCCTACAAACTGGTCCTTTAATTTACTGCAGTTTGTTCTTTTGGTTAATGTGAGCAGATTTAGGTGTGTGAGGTGACTAAATGTACCAACAGAGCTAATTACATTCCCTAGAAAAAGATTGGGAAAGACAAAGCCACTGACAGTGACAAAGGCATGCTGCAAGGCATGATTTTGTAGTGTGTGTAGGGATCAATAGAGGTATGATGAAGCAACATACCAGTTATCCACAGGGCAGACATGCTGGTTGTACAGGGCCATGGCATACCTACAAGAGAGACAGTGTGATTAGCAAAAATAAAAGGCAATTATTTTATGATCATCCAAAGTGACTCAACAAGTAATAATTCAGAATAACAATTTTAATCACTAAAGGAAGGTGAGGAATGCATCATCTGAACCATAGCCACTGCAATATCATGACATTACTGTGTATTACTGTGGCGAGTTGCCCCATAAGAAAGACAGACAGAGAAAGCGATGAGGCGTAGTATCAATGTCAACAACAATTTGAATTTAGAATTTTACTTACTACCAAAATGTACTTCAAATCACCTCAACCTTTTAATTTGCACTTATTGAATGTCAGCAGTGACCTTCACAATATTAAAATCTTGTCAGTCTGAACTGCCACTGAGGTGTACCTGTTTGCTCAACCTTAAGGACCAGGTCACCTGACATTGACCATTATTAAAACACTCTACCCAGAACTCAAAGGCCCAAAGAGAGAAAACACTGGTTTATGGCAGCCAAACTGGTATAATTACTACTAAAAACCAACAGAAGTGTTTATTTGGTCAGGTCACTGACCAGCCACATGCATAGAGAAGTCAATGGCCAGAGGATCAAAAGACAGAAACTGTATTTTGCAATCTCAAAACCTATATTTTACTTCAGATAAAAGTTCCACTGCTCGTTTTATAATCAGCATGCTCGAGATTCATTCATTTTTATTGCCCACAGCTGAATTAAGCATTAAACACTGGACAAAAATGGAAGCTCTGGGTGTATAATGTCATTCATTCATCAATTAAATTAAAACTAGAGCCAAACCCGATAAAACAGCCTGTAAACAGCCAATATTAGTTTACATCGGTATCTGTGTATATGTCAGCTGATAAAGAAATACAGAAAGAGAGCACTGAAATTATCGGCGTAAATGTTGATATCAGTATCAGCCTCATAAATAAAACCTGTCATGGATACGTCTTTGAAGTAAGGGTGCAGAATAAGGCTATGATTTATTAACTGTTCACAAACACCAGGGCTGCAGGATATAAAACATATTGCGATTATTTTGACAGATAATGAAACTGCACTATGATTCACGATTAGTGGGGATGATTTTTGCAATAAAAATTTAACTGGAAAAACAATTAAAATTGTGACGATGTGACATTTGTTGGGGTGCGTACCAAACAAACATGTTGTCTTACATTTTGAAGAACAAGATTTGTACGCCAAGGATCTCTGCAGAACTACAGTACTTCATTATAATGCAGTTTTGACATATATTTAACAAAAAATTGCGGCTTCTTGTGATTTGGATATTGCCCTTGACCTGATTGCAAATTCAATAATAGTGCAACTAAACAATATTAAGTTTGCACTGAAAGGGCACGCACACTTGTGTCTACCAGTGAATGGCCCACTTTTAGATATTGTTGCCTTGGGTCTTAAAGTGTCAGGCCCTTGATTATTTTCTCGCCAGCAACATGTACAGCTCAACTGTATCTGCTCTGTCCATACATGTCCAAGTCATATGGGACAGCAGTTTCAAATAAGACAAATGTGCAGAAGTCTGAGTATTAAATGGCTGGTTGCACTGCTCAAAATCAAGAGCAAAGGGGAAAGACAGTCTTAGACGTTAACATATACCAAAATGTGCTTTTAAATTGCAAAAACTATCATCAATATATACGATTATCCGTGATCCTTTTTATGATTCATGATCCTATTTCTGGGTGGACATCTCAGGGAAGCTCCGGAAGGAAAAGCAATTGTCACATTATCCCCTTGTTATCTACACACACACACACGCAGTAAACACTGATAGAATATCTTCAACGGCCAGAAAAAGATGAAAAGACAGACAGACCGAGTCAGACACAGACAGTCAGACAAGGAGACTATTTGTCCTTATTTGTGAAAGCAGTTGTAGTTCAGTAGAAGGTTAAGTACCAATTAAGTATGTTTCCAGGACCCAGGGATAGCGCCCTACTCACAAACCAGTCTGAAGGACAGAGACATGTAAAGACACACACCTGCTACCCACTAACAAGCACACACACACGCTTCATGACAATATCTACTCTATTGGAAACAAAGATTCTGGTGCTGAATAATATCTACAAAATCATATCTACACCCAAAGCGTGCAAATGTAAGGATGAACATCCTAATTGGAGAGCAAGGTGTCACATATACATCAATGTGATAACCATACAGTATAACACAGTTGTGTAAGTATATTTTCATTGTGGGAACATAATTGCTAGAAATACTATAGCATATGGTTATAATAGTCCTCAATAGTAGAAGTAGCAATATAATAATCCAATAATTATTATAAATGTGTGTTTCATACCAAGGCTGCAGTTTCACCCCTGGTTGAAAGCAGGGTCAAAAGGCAGAGTCAGACAACACTCGCTGACCTATTCGGATCAATGCTGTAAATCACTTCCATCCATTAAATGTGGTTTGCCATCAATCAAAGCTCATGTTTAGTGTGTTATTATACAATTAAATACTGTTTGCACTGTATTGTACACTAAGAGATAGCTCCCACAAAATCCTACAAACAGATGGTCAACGAATAAAACAACAATCATTAATACGACAGTCGGTACACTTAACTGATTGAGGATGATTAATATTAATTTAAGCTACTAATTTCTTCTAGGAAATCCACATTATGGAGAATCTGTTGGTGTCTTACTGTAAGTGTGAGCAAGCAGAAAGCAACTGGTTTTGTTTCATAGCGCTACATGTGATTGGTAAAATGAACGTCTGGTATTGACAGACTGCTGTAGAAGGTAGCAACATTTAACTGGCTGCTTATTGGCTGGGATAGGCTCTGAGAATTATCATGTGAAAGTCATCTAAGCCAGATGGTTCTCTGTAAAGACAACTGCATAATGCAGTGAGGAAACCCACTGGTGGGAGTGGAATATAGCCGTCAGGTAGAGGGGCTGCCACAGCTCCAGCTCCGAGCCCATCAGAGAATACTATGACACAAATCTGACCAAAACAAAAGAAGCTCACAACAAATGTAGACGCTTACCAAGGGAAAAAATGTAGGAAAAGAAATCATAGCCAGCTGAAATTGTTAAATGTTCCATTACATTTTTTTATATTTGTTCTGCTCTAAAATAGCAGCAGTGCCGCTCCGGGACATTTCTGAATAAAGCGGTGTTGTTGTTTTTGCTGTATGTGGATCTAAACTAGCGCCTTCTGTGCTCGGAGGAGGTTAAGTAATAATAGGTTTGTTTACATAATTAGACCTCTATCAAAGCTCAGTAGCGGTTGTAAACTGTAATTGCATGCCTGTGAGCAATATATAGGTAGAACAGACCATGCTTCTTCTTTTTTTTTATAAATGTAGGACTGAACAAGGAACAGTAAGGAACAACCTTTATGAAAGATCTGGTAGGGACTGTGAACATTCCCAAAAGCTGTGCAAAAACAACACATCAGAGACTACAGGAAAGGGTGTGATGTATAAACTATGAATGAATTTTTGGCAGTATAGACTCCAGTTGCTTCGCCGGCTAGTTGCTGTAGCACCTTAAAAACATACAGTATTTAAAAACTGAACGCTGTGCTTAAAAACTATTTCAAATCTACACAGCAAGTACTGCTTACGAGCACAGTAGAGCCACACTGCAGTTTCAAACATACTGCTTAACTCATAAAAGGTCAGCAAAAGAACCTAAGCCAAGACTCTTGGGTGGGCACAAGCCTGAGCCTTCCTCTGGCTCCACAGACCTTTCGTACAATGGGCATGGCTTCCAGATGCAGAGTGAAAGTTCTGCTCACGCTCACTATTACCCTGTTCTAGTATTTACCTTACCCCCACCTAGTCACCCACAGTGAAAGAGGGAGTTACGCAACATGTCACATCCTTTGACATTCCACTAGTCTGGAAAAAGACCCTTGACTGCTCTTAGAAACAAGGCACCCTTGTCAAGGTAACGGGAAGGAAATGGGTTTAAAGGGACTGACAGTCTGCAGCATTTGGCATCTTAACTCAGATCAACTTTCTACCTCAGATACAAATGCCAAAACAAGAAAGAAATGTGCAGAGCGAGCACTAATTTTCACCTGCACGTTTCCAACTCAGTATAGGGCTGTCAGTGTAACTCCTATTTTTTTTGCAAATCCCTGCACACCTGAATACACACTCCTGATTGAAATACGAGGCAGCCATGTTCACAAACACAACTAATTGGTGTGCACGGTCTCAGGCAACTCATCATAGATGTAACACAGAGTAAATACAGAACTACAACAATTTGGAATTGGGCCATCTGTCTCTCTCCCCTTGGGGTTTGCATTCCTACTCCCAAAGTAATAACAGAGCAGCGAGAAAAGCTGTCAACCCAAATATAACCAGGAGGTATTCACTCCTTTCTCTTCGGTACATCTGCTCGGATTCTGTAATGCAGATAATTAAGATATACTACAAATCTGCACGTCTCACTTTTAAGAGAGGGGTGATAATCCCACATCCTTCCTGGAGAGAGTTAATCCACATGCAATTGCCATGGCTCCCAGGAATTCAGGGTAAATATGCAATGTTACTCTCCTGGAGGCAAGAGGGGCTGAGGTGTCTGTGTTTTAGCTTAAATATAAACATGTAATTGGTTGGAATATGATGCTGGGTGTCACTTCGTTTATTCTATGTGAAATATCATCAAATATCATCATGCAAAATATAATTTTCACTATGATATTTCTGTTGTTTTCATTACATTATACACTGTGATATTTAATTTAAATAAATTTAAAAAAAAATTTTTTTTAAAGAGTAGATAAAGATGCAAAAATCCAGATGTTCACTGTTTTTTCACAGATGTGGGAATCTGAAATTATTAAGCAGTATAATGGTTTGTGCGACAGTGGGCAAAAAGCTTTTTTACACTATAGCACACGGATACATTGTGGTGCTATATTGTTTCTGTTCAGATCTATTTAGCATTTATTCTATTTGGAAATATATATATATATATATATATATATATATATATATATATATATATATATATAAGTGTTTTGGTTAATAAAAAAGTTGATAATCTACTGGGGACATGGTGTTTTTCTTGTACCTGGTGGCATTTAAAATAAGTAGTGTGATTGACTAATAGGCGTATGTCGAAATGTTGCGGCTACCAATGCAGAAATGACATGTTTTGACAGGTTTCTTTCACTTTCACGAGGATACTGTATGGGCAAAAAAAATCACTGTTGCACCACAAAGTCTTAATATCCTCTTACATTATAACCTGTGTATCACACAATAACACTTACATTGAGCATCAGTGCTCACTGCCAAGGCAGCAGGCAATTTTACAAGCGGGCTCAGTCTCAGCGGACTTGAGTAGGTTCTTGTTTGTGTAAGATTTTTAGCTTGTGCAGTTATATAGATCTGATGTTTTACTGCAAAAGAAAATGCAAAACACTTACACAACCCATATCCCAGTGATGGTCAGAACTGGGAGGCTAACAGGCAGTATCATCCAGAGAGACATCTTCCAGCACCTTGAACAGCCCCTTTCTTCTTTTTCCTCTTCGGCCAGCCGAGCGATATCTGCTCAAGTAGTACTAACATTTAACTGAGTGTGACTGACATCTGCACTGCCACCGACTGATTCATCTTCTTGATGATGATGGAGGATGGTAGATGGGACACTGGGAGGGACAGATCAGTCCTTTTAGCTGGTGAATGAGAGGAGATTGATGCGAGTTGGTCAGGATCACTCACCTACTAATCAGAGAGCAATTATAATCATCATTAAGACATGCCAGCTGAATCTGAGTAAGACTCTGTAGTCAGGGTTATGTGATGCTCGCAACAATTTCTAGTGTATAGAAGGTGTTGGACTGCAAACAAAAACACCTGTAACGCAAAACAATATCACTTTATACTGCTTTTATGAAGCTGTGATGTTAATTTAAAGTTTGCCAAAGATCACTTTGAGATTTTGGAGTTGCATCCAATAGTTAATCGTATTTTAGCTCAAATTAAACACAGAGTTGGGTGATGGCTTGCCTTTATAGGTTACATATCACAGGTAGCGCAACGTTAGGTTTACACATGTTTTCATTAGTTAATTGCATCTTTTCTCGTGCCACATAAGCTTAGTAGCTGCTCACCTTCACGTTTCTAGCTAACAACAACGACGAACATCAAAAGCAAATCTGTGCTCACCTTCTCCTGTTACGTTAACAAGAAAGTTTTCTCCTGTTGTTGTTTTTTTTTTTTTTTGGGGTTACTTTGAGTACGCCGACCTGTTCCTCCACACCTCTGGTAGCCCAAAAACTATTCCACACTACACTTGCAGGTCACGGTTTAGCCTTCTTTTAAGCAGAAATCCCAGTTTTCCCCCCGAACAGCAGCAGCAGCAGTCCCGGTGACCGTCCTCGCTTTGAACTGGAGTGGGGGAAGGCTCGCGCTCACACGCAGTCGGTCTCATCGCCGCCACGAGACAATCCAGCTGTTTTGACTCCGCCCCCTCAGAACCTGTAGTAGCAGTGTATGTTGCATTCACGTTTCAGTTGCGCACCAAGTGGGCGGGGACGAGAGGAAAATAACTAGGTATAAAAGCGGTTTGGTGTGTGTGTGTGTGAGTTGTCTTTTACAGTATAATGATGGCAGCTTAAGAAAAACTAAATTACTTTTACCAACAGTCACAGTTTCAAACATTTTAAACCCGTCCTGCGTGATAACAGGACGTAAACTCGGAACCTAGTTGTTACCTAGCAACGCAATTCACATGAAGATACTAATTTCTTCCTTTTGGCTTCTCTAAAAACAACTTTTTTTTTTTTTTTTGTGGCTTCCCGCTCCCAGTTGATCATGATTTTTCGTTTTCATCGCCCTCTGAAAAAGTTAGATGACTCAGTCAATAAACAAGTCTTTGTAAATAGAGCATATCAACATGTGTGTATGTATCCTCTGTGCTTCAGTGTGTGTGTGTGTGTGTGTGTGTGTGTGTGCTGTAAAATCAAAGCCAGCCTGTCCCAACAAAACGTGTTTCTGCTGCCCCCCGGAGCTTAAACTTGTTTATGTCTCTCTATACCTGCAACCCCTAATGAAGACCAGGAGATGGTGGTATAAGGCAACATGTAGAAGCCTAACATCTGATAGTTTTTGATCTGGTCTCCTCTTCTTCCTCTTGATCTCTTTCTTTATGCAAGTCAGAAGAAAAACTTCAAATATGAGCAACTTACCGTTAACCGTGTTTATATTTTGGGGATTTTATATATTTTAGATTGTAGATGGATATATTTGTACTTGTACCTTTATTGATTTTATTTTATTATTTTATTATTGGGTTTATCTTTCCTACTTTGTACTGTAACTGCAGCTCCACCATTTCTATCAGGATAAATAAGGCTTCTCTTATCTTGATTTATTGATTAAGTTAAGTTGTTTTACTTGTTTATTTGTCACTTCAAGCAAACAAAACTCAAAAGGTCGTCCAGGTTTTTGTCTCCTGGTCTTAAGTACCTTGTTCTGGACTAATGCATCCAAGATGGCTGATAGATTGACATAAGTGTGAAAAACAACAGCAACTCCAGTTCCAGTAATGGTGAGCCACTGTCCACATGATGCATTATAACAGGATCAAAGACAGCTGTCTCATGCAAATACTTATTTAATGTGCCAAATAAATCAGTAATATAAACTATGATTTAATTTCACAGACAGCATGTAATCATTAATGTAAATATAATATGATTTAAAATAAAAAAAGATATGAGACATCAGGAAAATAACATTATTTACAATTGTTGCATGAATATACTAGTTAAAACTAACATTTTGTTGTGATCCCATAGAGTATATTGCTCCAAAACAACAGTCAGCAATGAAAAGGACAAAAACAGATCAGTTCGATTGTTTAAAACACTCACACAATAGTTAATTTCATGAGGAAAAAATAACTTTTAGCAAAGAGTGAAACAAACAGACACCCTGTTTTAAATTTCAATGCATCATTGACAATATTGTGTAATTTTGATGCCAATTACTGGCACTATGCTAACTGTCCTACAGTCTTATGCTGGTACCAAAGCCCCACACACTGAATGCAGGGTAAAGGGGCTCAGTAAATGTAGTCTGAACTCTGTACAGAAGCTTCATGCCATCAGAGACACTGTAAAATGCAAGTATTCCTGCTGCATGATCCACGTAGACGCCAATGCGAGAAGACGTTGGAGCTGAAATATCTTTGCTCTTGTTGTTGTGCACAAAGGAGAATTTGGAGTCAGAGCAGTACAGACTCCAGGACTTGTCGTTCCAGCCCAGGCTGCATTCATTGCTGTTTCCTTTACGGCGGATTCCCCTGTAGGTTACGGCCATGTCTACCTCTGTTCCCATCCAGTCCACCTCCCAGTAACAACGAGACCCAGTCACACGCTCCCTGCACAACACCTGAAGTGGAAGCCACAATGAATGAGAGATGGATAGACAAGATGTTGCTTTATGCATGGCTTATAAAAGTTGTTAGAAAACACTGCAGCTGCACAACTGAAAACACTTTGTAAGCACAGGAAGATTTGTCAACTACTTATAGTAAAAGACTGATTTGTGTTGCAATTTTCAATAAATACCAACAAAAGACATTTAAAATATTTACCTCAGAGGAAGAAAATAAGGTTTTTTAAAAAAGCATGATTTCATAGACTAATTTTCATGAATAAAATCTTAAAATGAAATCATGATGGCAAATCAAAGTTCCCTGACAATAATACAATAATAAAAAGCTCCTGTTACTCTTTAGTCTGTATTTAGGATTCAGCATGCCCCCTGCTTGATAGCCTGATCTTTTTGGTTCCATTCACAAAAGTTATCTTTCCTTCTTTTCAGTAAAATTCGGTAAATTCTCACCTGCTGCCAGTGGTCAAATCGATCTGGGTGATCAGGGTAGTTCTTCGGCTCACTCTTCATCGTAGCTGCTTGGTTGCCCTCAGAGAGGTGAAGGTTGGGGTGGACACTGTTGACATCCAGTATCAACTGGCAAGAGTCTAAACAATGTAGGACAATATAATTATCAATATCAATCTGTTTTTCAGTCTCTTTTTTCCAATTTAATGTTATCACATATTCTGGTATTTGTCTTCTGAGATTAGATGTTTCTGTGAGCCTGCACTGTCACAACTTAACATCATTCTTTTGCTTCCAACCAAATATGTGTGACAGTAATATGTTTACAAAGTTAGCCCACTAAAACTCCCATGCATCAGCTTGTTGAAATGCTTTCCTTAGGTGGGGTAAACCCAGGAACACCTGTGTTTGTTTAAGTAACACTGGAGTGTATCTTTGGTTTCTTACAATTCACCAAACCTGTTCTGCAAGCATTCCGTAACACTGGTCTCACCACACAGCTCTATTAATCCCTTTGTTAGGGATGGATATACTTCCTACTATTTGACACCATGACAATCACACTTTGAACGTCTCTAGGACAGAATGAACTACTGTATGACTGGAATATGATCAGGTTTGATACAACTGCCAAGTAGCCTTGCTAATTTGGTGCTAAAAGTTTTTCAACAGGCAAGTATCTCTGTAAATAGTAACCTAATAACTCACATTTCAGGAAATCGCCTCTTGTTTTTGGTTCTTCTCTCATCCTCGGTTCCTCTCTCATCCTCGGTTCCTCTCTCATCCTCGGTTCCTCTCTCATCCTCGGTTCTTCTCTCATCTTCGGTTCTTCCCTCAAAATTGATTCTCTCCTTGGCTTCTCAGCTTCTTGCGTGATGTATACTTCCTTCACTATGGAGAGAGAGACAGCAGCATATGCTTAATGAAAGCAGATAAAAACACAACCACTCCCAAAAAGCAAACCCAATACAGAGAGACATCAGTGCTACTTGAGATAAAGAAAGACAAATTTGTTCACCTGCTCCAGAGATTTTGCTCATTTCTGTCTTGCTGACTTCTTCTACTTGCAATTTCAGTGTAGCAATGGCTCTCTTGGTCGCATCAAAGGAGTAATAGGGAGCAACGCTGATGTTGTTGAGGTCTTCATATCCTGAGGGGCCCGACAGAGACTGCCAGCTCTGTTAAAAAAAAAAATGGCAAGATTAAATTGAGAGAGGAGACATATCTAGCAACTAGCCCAACTTTCTGCACCATGCAAGGTCTTTGTCCTCAGTTCAGATCAACTTCACCTGCAGAAAGTGTATGTGATCATCGGTGTGTGAGAGCTTCTCCAGGTCAGTGTGTCTCTTCTTTAGCAGAGTGATCTCTTCCTCCAAGCGGTCTAGCAGTATCTCTCCCTGAGTCACGGTGGTCTTTTCGTGGGAGCGTATCATCTCCTTGACTTCATTGTACTTCCGCTCAATGGAGAGCAGAAGCTCAGAGAAGATTCGCTCGTTCTCCTCCAGGACCGTTTGAGCAGAGTGCTGATGGGATACATAAGAAAGAGAGGAGAGAGTTTGGAGAGTGGTTATTTTTCAAACCAGAAACCTTAAAAGACTCATGTAAACATCATGCAATGTTTACAATAGGTATATAGTAATAACTTTTTACTTACTTTAACGGATTCTACAGCTTGTCGGAGATCCTGCCACTTTTTAATTCTCTGATCAATCCTCTGTTGAGATTTGTGCAGCGTGGTACCAAGTTCTTTCTAAAGAGGAAATTACATAGAAGTTTCAGTTTTTAGTGGGCGATAACTTTATACTACAATGAACTATTTGCTGTCTTTATTGAGTATTGTGACACTGACGGACGGTTTCACCACTTACTTGCTTCTCTGTCCTCTCAGTTCCAGCTGGGACGATGTCGTGGTGCTTGTGTTCATCCATCATGCACAGAACACACACTGAAGTCTGATCAGTGCGACAAAAAGCCTCCAGCAGTTTGTCGTGCTGTGCACAGATCTTCTCTCTCATCTGACCTGTAGCTTTGACCAGTTTGTGCTTCATCATGGCAGGGTACTCATAGTGAGACTGGAGGTGGGCCTCGCAGTAAGATGCCAGACACACCAAGCAGGACATCTCAGCCTTCTGCTTCCTTGTTGTGCAGAAGTCACACAGGACATCCCCGTTTTTTGCATGGGTCCTGGGCTGGCTGCGACTGGTAGAGCGACGAGACTTCTCTAGGCTGCTGTATCTGTCTAAATCCAGACTGCTGGGGCGGGACATTTTTACCAGGAGTTTAAAAAATGTGGTCCAGCAGATATGATAACAAAAATAAAATCCACAGGTGATTTAGTTCAGCAGTAACGTGTTAATCTCTTAATAAACTAAGTTGAGATCAACAAATAAGTAAAAACTTGACAAAAACTGAACGGGACGAGATATCCACAGAGACGATGAGGTCTTGAAGTTAACAGCTTCAGTGAAACTGTGTGACTGACGCTGTGTGAGACAGAATGTTAGCTATGTGGTCTACTCTCACGGTAAAACCAGTATTCCTGGTTGGGTGTTTAATAGTCAAGGAATGGGTGTTACTACAAATGCACACTATGCTGCCTGAAACAAAGAGGGCTGAGACAAAGGAGAGGAAAAGTTGAAACTACCAAAATGAAAAAGGTTGATGTACTGTACTTTATTATTAAAATTATTACAATAAAAGTGTTGTATCATTACTTATACAGAAAGTTGGGAGGGTTACTTTAAGACTCATGCTTATAAGATTACTAATTACCTGTTAAAAAATGTAGTCAGCAACTTGACGTATCACAGTATTGAAGTAAGGTAACTTGATGTTACTTTTTAAATTACCTCAAAACCAAATATGCAGATAAAGACAAGACAAAAGACAATATCAATAAGATGATGATGTATTCCATAAGACAACAGAACATATTACCTTAGAAATAAAGATACTTAACATAAAAATGTGTCCTCTGCTCAGAGTATTTTTAAAGAAATCTTGCTGTTCATTAACAAGTTCAGACAGCAGCCTATAGACCATTTTCACAGCTGAGAGGCACAATAATAATAATAATGGTGACATTTCCGCCCAATGAAAGCGTGTTTTTCACCAGAGGCCATGATGATGAATTGGCAACTGTACAATTAGCTGTGGTTTCACTCGAGACCAGAGTGGTGTTGTGAGACTCATGAAGTGTTATAATGTGTGCGCACTGCTCATGTGCATGGTAATATATAGTTCTTTATTTTCAAATCTATTTTTAAATTGTAATCCTGTTAATGATCCCAGTTATGTATTTTTTTTAGATAGATAGATAGATAGATAGATAGATAGATAGATAGATAGATAGATAGATAGATAGATAGATAGATAGATAGATAGATAGATAGATAGATTTGATTTTATCTACACTGTTAAGGAATGACCTTCACTTTATTTAGTTTGTTTTTAGTTTGTTGGGTCTATCTTTAGACTTCTGCACAAGATATGTACAATATGTGCCGCTCCTGCTCCCGGGGCATTCAGCATCCTAGAAATGGGAAAACAGCACCATCTTGTGGGACTAAGTCAGTAGCCTAAAACCCTGAAATATATAAATCTAGAACCTCAATTTGACTGCAAATGTATATACATTTTATACATGGTATAGACATTCCTGAAACTAGTTGATAGTTATCCTCAAAGCTATAATTGCAAAACCTACAAATAATAATATTTCTGATTTATTTCTAGATTCATAAGCTTTGAAAACCATCAACTACCATGTTGACTTTTCTGTATTCACATTGTTTGAGTTACATGTGTATGTCATAATTAATTATTTTATTAACTTGCAATGAGATTATTAGAGTTCTGACACAGTTTAAATCTCTCATTCTTTGCATTATTGTGCAAATACTATATTTTCTATTATAAGTATACATTAAAGATCCAGTCAATACTTGAGGCATGGCTTTATTTTAAGTGATTAGTTTTACACATCCATCTTTAAATGCATTGGATATCTTCCATGCTCTTCTGCCTGTGGAAGAGTTTCTTGGGTCTTGCACACTGTGTAATAAACTATCTCAGCATTTTACACATATTTGGAATAACTGGAATTTCCCCCATAGTATAGATCAAAGTGATATTCGGGTTAGGCTACTTTGTCTCAAGAAATATATAAGAAAACACAAATAAAAATGCTATAGGGAATGGTCTGCAATAATAATATTAGCCAGTGGTAGAAGAAATACTTGGACCTTTACTTATGTAAAAGTTAAAAAATACTATAAAATGTCCTAAAATCACAGCAAAATATACTTAAAGTAGGTCTATTAAAAGTTAAAGCAGAGTGCCCAGTTAGCTCAGTGGGTAGAGCTGGCAACCCATGGACTGAGGCTGAGTCCTTACTGCAGCGGCCCAGGGCTCAAACCCGACCTGCAACCCCCCGCCGCGCGCCATCCCCCCCCAAAAAAAATCAGATTCATTGCCAGGTTGGTTTTCACACATACAAGAAATTTGTCTTATATTTGTCTCATAAAATATACAAATCACACAAGAATAAAGTAATTTTAAAATATAAATAAATAAAGATAAGAAAATTGTACAGAAGACGGGAGTGCAATAATGTAATGAATATAATATAATAACTGGAAATAGAAATATAATAGGAGCCTATATACAAAGTAAATGTAGATGTAAAATACTTGCAAATGCGTAATTATTAATTAACAAGTACAACCACATCATATCCCCATGCAACAATAAAAAAGGGGGTTTGTCTCATAAAATATACAATCACACAAAAATATACAAATCACACAAGAATAAAGTAATTTTAAAATATAAATAAATAAAGATGAGAAAATTGTACAGAGGCGGGAGTGCAATAATGTAATGAATATAATATAATAACTGTAAATAGAAATATAATAGGAGCCTATATACAAAGTAAATGTAGATGTAAAATACTTGCAAATGCTTAATTATTAATTAACAAGTACAACCACATCATATCCCCATGCAAGAGGGGGGGTTTCTTTAAGGTCCCCCCCCCGTTGTTGCGTGCATTGACCACTCCGTGGCTGCAGGGGGGCGCTAGTGGTCTCCCGCGCTGCGTTGTACCGACAATAATTGCTTTCGCTAAAGTGCGTCGGTAGTCCAACGTTGGCGCCAGATGAGCTGTGGCGCCAGCAACACACACAGACCGAGAGAGAAAGAGAGAGAGAGGAAGACACACAGCGGTTCGACCAGACGCACCACAGCTTTGCAAAGCCCTTCTCAACCCATCAAGAGTTTTTGAAGCATATAAGCGACCCTCTCTTTTTTTTTTTAATTTCCTCTCTTCAACCATCCAAAGGACAGAAAGGTGGGTGTGTGCATGCGTAAAAGTATGTATTTAAAACCGGCGTGAGCCTCACTCCTGGTGATTATTCATCGTTTAAATGCAACTTACTCTTGTATCATCACGAGTAGTGTTCATGCAGAGAGAAAGTGTCTGTGTAGCAGAATATAATCTTAAGTTATCATGTTGTTGCGGCGGGTCAACGCATATATCTTTTTATTTCTTTTTGTTTTTTGATGTATGGGTCCAGTTCTGATAGTAACGAACTTTGTGGTGGAGAAATAAAGGCCTGGACTCGCACTGGTTTTGTATCGTTTCGTCCAAGCACACATTTATGGCATAAAGAAGTCTTCCAGCTCTGATTTTCATCCAGGTTATGTTGTGTTTTTTTTGGGGGGGGGGGTACAGAAATCGGCCCATCCGTCTTTCTTGAATGTTTTTTTTTTTTAATCTTGCATGCGATCCCAGTTTAACCCGGTCCGATGTGCGGGTTATTAAACTCCATCGTTTTTAAACAAAAAACAAAAAACAACTCTGCTCATACTTTAAAAAAAAAAAAACAAGAAAACAAACTAAGGAGAGCAGGATTTATAGCCCCCCCGTGTTAGCAACCCTGGATTAGCTGGCTCGTTAGCTTGGCATCATGGCTATGTAGCCAGCACGCTAGCACCGTCTCGGCTGGGTAGCAGCTAACATCAGAAGGCCGCCATTGAAGTCGTGTGCTCGGTCGGTCGGTCCGCAGTGAAGGTGGAGAAGACTCCTCGTTGTTCTTCCTCTTCTCCCCGAGTAGCTCTATAAAGCGCACTCTGCTTTAAAGAGCTCTGTTTTGGGGGGTTTAATACTTTATGTGTGTGGTGTTTTTTTCTTTTCCCCTTTTTGTTTTAATCTAATCTGGTTGTGATGTAAGTAAAGAGAGGAGAGAGAGGAGAGTCCTTTCCCGGGCTTTTCGAGCAGCGTTCATCGCCCTCGGTGTTAGCCATCTTTGTTTGGAGCTAGCCAACTCCCGGTTGGACTGACGGTGTGGCTCCTAGCCTGCTAACCTTACCTCCGGGGTTAGACAGCACTGTCGCGTTTGACCCGAGCAGCATCGCCGCACATCGTGTGTGTGTTTTTGAGCTTTATGTGTGTGTGTCTCGGGGAGGAGAAGCTCTTAATTCAATGTGTGTGTTTTTTTTTTTTGAAGGGCGGAAGCTAACGTGGCTAACGTTAGCTCGCGGCAGCCATCTTAGGCGAGCATGTAATCTTGGCTAGCTGGAAGTGCTGGTGTGGCACAACAAGATGGCCTGTTAATACTCGCACAAGGAGGGTTTCCGCGTCGGTAGCTGTGTGAGAAATAGTCACCAAACGTAGCTTTAATTCGCCCGCTCGTTTTAATGTGAGTGTTTCGCTGTTCTTTCAAACCCTTGCTTCAATTACTCGCGTTGCTTTTTTTGCTATGAAGCTAGTTAGCGGGCTAAATCGCGAACGCATTAGCAGCTAACACAATGCTGTTGTGTCGTTAACCAGTCCCCCCTCGACCATAGCCAGCTAACTAGCGGCTATGGAGGCTATTTGTAGCTGTTATTGAAGGCTAGCAACCAAACAGTTGAGTGTTTAATAACAAACCAGAGGTGCATGCTTCGTTTCTGTATTTTATAATAACTCGTATCAAGCTGCGCGGATGGACTTCTTCTGTAGGCCGGTCGGGGTTGGGCTGGCGGATTAATTCATAATTTGGAACATGATCATGATGTGGTGGTCCACTTTGATTTTATCAATTGTGTTAGCCAGGAGAAGTGAAGCTCGTCTTCAGCGCTAACTTTGCTAGCGAGTTGATCACTTAACTAGCCTGCTAGGTAGCCAGCATGATGATGAGATGGGAGGCGTGCAGTTGTAGGAAATACATTTTATCAGTCCAGTCCTGTGGCTTTGGTTGGTCTGAACTGTGTGCCTTTATCCTATGCATTGCTCACTTTGGCTTAATCCTGCAGTTTTCTAAGTAATAGTGCAGTAAAAGGTCTGAGCTGTTGTAGATCAACACGAAATGGATATTAAGTAGTACAGAATAAAATAATCTCATCTAATGTTATGGGGCTGCTTTTTATTGTGTTTAAGCTGTCCCAGGCAAGCAGGGCTCTCTCACCAGGGGAGTGGGTGGCAAAACTTCTGTGGCAACAAAGCTTTATTCTTATTTA